GAGTCAGCTAATTTTTCTTATATCCGTCCCTATTTATTATATAGCTTGTAAAAATAACCCTTCACTAACTTCTCGTTTTCCTTTGTGCAGGACCATGCTCTGTTATTAGAGGAAACATCTCATTAATCACTTTTATCATTCGATTGAAACACAATATTTCAATAAAATAACATTCAATAACTCGTCATTTTCAGTTTAATACTAGCACAACAACTACTCCAATTATTTCCGAATTATTTTGATCCGATTCACAAATCATAAACGCGCTATTAGACACGTGGAAATAGATCCGACACTTACTTGAAATTCGAACACTGATTCGAAATTATGCAGATTAAAAAGAAAATCTGATCGACGACAAAACGCACTATATGTGTGCGCGCGCGCATGAGAAAAAAAACATAGAGATAGATCATGTAGGCAGCTGAGGAATAGGCGTTCACCTGGATCTAAAGCAACTATGAAGAAAAATGAAGTTCGAGTTCGAATTAGGATGCAGAGATAGAGGGACCTGTAGCTGGCGGCCGACCTGCTCTCGGAGTCGCGTAGCTTGTTTTCTGATCGCTTCCATTCACCGGACAGCAAATCGGAGCTTTATCCGATGGATTCAAAGAGCAATAAACGGAGAAATCGGCAAACGGATGCCTTCGGTTTTGGGGAATTTTGATCTATTTATTTATTTTTCTGTTTTTCCGATGGAATTTTGTGACACTGATATTTTGAAATTTTTGGAGGCTATAATCTGAAAGTAGGTTGTTTTGGTGCGCACGTTCCTAGTTTAATCTTTCTGAGCCCTTTTTTTCTGGATAAAGTATACAAATGCTCACTAAATTATTCTGAAATGATTTTTTAATCACAAGCTCCATAAATTATAAAATAACCATTAAATCTCTCAAATGGTTACAAACTAATCATTAAATTTTCTCAAATTATTACAAAATATCTTTAATTTTATTGAAATTTGTCGTTATTTTATAACATGCAATGATCAATTTGTAAGGATTTGATAAATTTGATGGTTATATATATATATATATATATATTGAATTTTTAAGTATTAAACAACCGATCTCCTCTTTGATTCTATTTTATATTGAATATTAATACTGGAAATGTACTTAGTTTTATAAAATTAAGGGAACAGCTAGAATTATGAAAGTGGAATAAAAACTTAATTGTAAAATTTTATATTGGCCAAAGATTGTGAATCCATCTAGTTATTATTTGTCTCAATCCTTTTAGTTTTGTTGATTATTGGAGACTTGGAGAACTTCGGTAATTGGTCATGACATTCTTTTATGCAATTTTTTTGTTGTTGTATCTCTCTTTTACGTGTGGTTGTAAATGAATCGAGTTTAAACGATTAAGATTGTATTTTTGTTCGTGTTTATTTATTTATTTTTTAAGATGAACTTATTCGTTTATTTATTATTCACGAATATATTAGTTTAATGTTCACGAATATATTCTATTGATGTTTGTTTAATGTTCATTTAACATTCGTTTATACGTTTAATTTTTAATCTTTTACCTTTTCATTTGCAATTTAAAGAAAAATGATAAAACTACACCAGTAATTCTTAAACTCCTTACTATTCACATTTTAAACTCTAAATTTCACCAATGTTTAAAATATAAAAAATAAAAGAATAAAGGAAAACTTGATAAATGAACTTTTAAATAAGTTTATTCATGAACATAAAAGAACAAATCGATAAACAAACTTGTTCGTAAACATGAATGAATAAGTCAATAAACGAGGTTGTTCGTAAATATAAACGAACCAAACACATCTTTATGTGTTCATTCATTTATTAAACTAATATAAAAAATTTGTTCATATTTATTTGTTTAGCTTAATAAACGAACATAAACAAATGTTATACAAATGATTCACAAACAGTTTACCAAACGCTCTGTCATATACACCCTTACTTTTATGGATAGAAGGACCAGCATTGTTGTGTGTTGCCTTGTTCAATATTGCGTTTCAAAAGTATTTTTTGGAGTGAAAAGTAGGATGAATAATCGATCGAATCAAGTTAAATTAAAAAAAATTAAGTTAATCTGGCCAATTTAGACATTTGTGCTATGACAACAAAGTAATTCTCACCCTTTTTTCCGGCCGGGTATTCAAGTTGCCCGTAAAAGAATGAAATTCGGTATTTATGGAGGCGAAGTTATTGTTACCGGAAACAGTATGTAATGCTACATCAAGATGCGGAGTACGGCTAAGCCGACGGCAGAGATGGAGACAAGTGAACCTATGCAGTACTTAATCACATCATATTTTGCAGCTTCCAACTGGGCTCTTAAGGCATGAATTTCCTGTAGACGGTTCAAAATGTCAGGTTAACATCCGTATGTCACCCCCAACACAAAGATCATCAAATGAAAATAAACATGCACGCTCACCCTATCTAGCTTGTTAGTTAGGTTGGTAGTTTCTGCATTTTGATTGGCCAGTTCATCACGTATGCGGCTGAAATCGGTTAATATTAAGAAAATAAAAGCCTGAAATAACAGAATAAAGCAAGTGCAGTAATGAAGAGAAGCAATTGAAAAATAGCACTACCTACCCTCTTTCAAGATTCAAATCCAGGCGCTGCCCGGCAGTGACCTTGTCAATTTCATACCTGCTTGAAAGACCAGTTGTATAAAATCAAGCTCGTAATTTTTTAGAAAAGTAAGAATCCTTGACTCATCCCCTATAAAACATGCCTTAGTTCACTTCTCTGTCACCTTTAAGCTTTTCAGTTTCGCGTTGCAGCATAGAAAAATGATAGTCCTGCATTAAAATGAAAAACTTGTAAGAAACCAAACTAAGATGGTAAGTTAACCATCTGATGGTCTATTCTCAAGGATAATTAAGAACAGATGAGTTAAAACTTAAGAGAACATTTAGAATTACTTACTCTGAGAATCACCATGACATCAAATCATAAGGAAAGAAACCTTCCCACCAGGGACCAAGCCAAAATGTTAAATGTAAATCCAAACCAGCTCAATGAGAAGAGTTTTCCTTCAATTCCAACATGATCCGATGGAAAAACCGCCACTAGACTCTCCATCTCATTTTCACTCTACTTCATCTTATAATAACTTCTAAAATAAAAACTTGATTCGTTGTCAACCACCAAACATTGTTCCAAAACGGCAAAATCTCACTGTTCCCCACCACGGAAGCATCTTCACCTGAGTTTTAATGTATGCATCTAGTTTCTACTCCCAACTGTACTGTTCTCTAACCTACTTTCGCCGTTTATACAAGATTTCTCATGACCGCCATGATATAATCAATTCAAATAGAATGAACTGCAAGATAACTTGTTCTCGACTGCCAACTGAATCTCTAGAGAATCCCAAATACCGGCCTCAGTAAGAGATTGATTGAAGTATTCGCTTCTTGCGGAACGGAAAGCTATAAATAATGAAATGCTAACATAACAAGACAATCCTTTTTCTCAGCTTTGCCACTTAAAAAGTTAAAATTAAGAGTACCCGGGAACTTTTTACTTCAGACTTAAACTTCGACAAATTGGTTTCTTGAAGCATCTCAGTCTACAAAGTAAAACATAGAAAAAACTTATTATCAACATGCTGATGAAGATCATACATCATTGAGACAACACCAGAATCAGGGAGATAAAAATCAAACAGTATTGAGTACAGAGAACAAAAGAAAATGGAAATTAATAAACATATCCTTTACCTTCTGCATTTCTGCCTTTGAAACAAAAGAATGGGAAACATTCTCCAAGCTGTCGTTTAACACTTCGGTAACTGCTCCTGTTATTGCCTCTGCTTATTTTGATGGCACGCCTTGCGCTTCCAAACTTCGAACCTATGTCCAAATAACTCGAACATAACGAAAGAGGCTAAACAAATGAAGAAATTTCATTTCTAAAATTTTCAAATAGCCATATCTGACTCGAATCAAGCGTAATACCTAAAAAGAAGTAATCAGGATACAAACTCAGATCGATCTTTAATTATAAATAAACACTAAATCATGTTTACTTTACCCTAAGTTCTCTCGGCAACTAAACACAAAGTTCTGAGATAATAGAAGGAAAAAGGAAAGGAATACCAGAGCTAATGTATCCACGAGAAATGCACGCTTTCCGTTGGATTTAACGACTTGATAAATCTGGCGGTATCACGCATTAAACCCTAATCGAACCACGCGCTTATTCGCACTCATTACTGCAACCGAAATCAGAGATAAGGATCCAAAACAAAAACGAAATTTCCAAATTGATTACGAAGAAAAGGAGTAAAACTCAAATCATTTGTCTCGGTGAAGAGAGCCAAAGAAAGAAATCAAAATCTGATGGAAAATAATGCCAAGGAGGAAAACGAGGATGACCTACCCCCAACTCAAATAGAATTTAGGATAAGGTACATATTTAGTACCTAAATTATTAATTTTGTTCTATTTTAACACCTAAACTTTTGATTTTCCAAAACCTATCTATTGTTTACTTTTTGTTTCATTTTAATACATCGCAATTAAAATTTAGGTGTTAAAATGAAACAAAAAATTGACAGATGGACTAAAATGAAATAAAAAGTTATCAGATAGGTATTAAAATGAAAAAAAAAGTTAATTACGGTTACTAAAATGAAACAAAAAGTAAACGTTAAGTATAGTTTTGAAAAAAAGTTTAGGTACTAAAATAAAACAAAAGTGATAGTTTAGGTATTAAATATGTAGTTTACACTAAAATTTTAGTACTTGAAATAATTTGAATTGAATTTATATTAAGATTAACATTAATTATCATGATATAATATATAAATTTTGATTTAAATAACTCTATAAAATAAAAAGCTAGACCTTAATTCGCTATTTTATTTATTTACATACTTCCTTCGAATTTAAAAAATAAATCGCATCGACTAAAATAGGATTATTCAATTATAATAAGTATGTCTAAAATGTCATATAAAATCAGATTTTAACACCACAAATTCAAGATAACTTACTATTAAAATATTCACTTAAAGGGTTAAAACTACTAAAGGAAAAGGTTTTACAAACATATATCATTCAAAGGAAATTTCCAAAAGGATACCTACAGACAACCTACCCTAAGCTGCTCTATATGTACCAAAAATTTTAAGTGTGCATGTAATCACACGATGCCCCTTTCTTGCAGTGCCCATTTTCATGGAATTTGCACACTCTCTGTCCTTTAAAGGACGACCTCGAAGAACCACCGCCGCCGCCGAATGATGATTGCCTACTCCAAGGTTTTGCTCCACTGAAACCGGATTCACCGCCCAGGGAGCTCCTATCTCGCTGATCCGGAAACTTGTCTCCATTGTGATTCGGTTCATTTCCCCACATGCCACCTGTATTTCTAGACGGTATCGCGAAACCAGGATTCACACTTCCTGGTGCTGCTCCTTGATCTGGTGGAAGCCATACAGGGTTTGCATTATTAACAATGTTAGGTCCTTGTCCAGGTGGTGCCCATCCTTGCATTGTATTTCCAGGACCAGTCCAACCTGGATTTGCATTCCCTGGCACCTGTCTTTGGCCAGGGACAGCCCAATTTTGTAAAGGATTAACAGAAGCTGAACCCTGATAGCTCATGTTCGCAGGGTTCTGATTTCCTGGTGCCTGTCTCAGGGTAGCACCCTGGTTATCTGCAACGGCCATGCACCAAGGTAAATTGGTTGGAGCAGGAAGCTGAACATTTGACTGAACAGGAACGGCAGGCCTCCAGGAATCCGATAGCATCGTACTCGGTTGACCAGGAGTTGGAAAAACCCCAGCGGGATTTCCAGTGCTGAAAGGAGCAGGAAATTGACCGGTTTGTGATGCACCATCCCAATGACCATAAGGAGCAAGTTGAGCAGGAATGGCAAGGGAAGGATTTGGTTCTAGCTTCTGGGTTGAAGCATTACACCTTTGAGGTCCAGCGGCAGGTATGGAGGATACAGAAAATGATTCTTGCCTTGAAACTGAGACAGAACCAGGTCCATGAGTCTCGGCAGAAGGATTGTGGGAACTCAAAGATTGAACCAAATTCTGGACCGACGCAGCTGCATTTTTTATATCAACACCTAGATTAACTGAAGCCGACGCATTGACCTGTCTCCTGTGTAATTCACTTGACACCATCGTATGCGAATGCACTACAGGAGCAGCAGCGCTCCCACTCTCTGGAATAACAGTGGGAGGTTGCAGCCCTACCGCACCCCCTCGGACTGAATTAGCTACTGGAAGAGAACCCGATGGCTGCGCAGGGGTAGGAGACCATTTGTTTTCAAACGGTTTTCCCCAATTCCCACCGGTGGGAGTTCGGTTTGGAGTGGGAGAAGGTAGATTTGTGTCAGAGCCCCATGTAACTCGAGAATGCTTCGGGATCTCAAGTGAAGATGGAGCAGGTTGACCCGGCGAACCCAAAACACGTTGAGGACTCCAAGCTATGTGATGCTGATCAAGCCTTGATCGTTCTCCAACTTGGCTTTCCATTCCTTGCTTCAAGGTAGCTCCAAGAGGATTCCCATACAAGGCCATTTGATCCTTTGGCAGGCTATTATCTACTAATGGAGGGTCTTTCTCAAACTTTCCAGCCAAGGCATCATTCAAAAGTATAGAATCATCTTGTGTCTCATTGGTTCTCCATATTTTTAAATCGGCAGGGAAATATCCAGTGTTACTCCACTTCCGCAATTGTACTATCGAAAATGGTCCTTGAATTTTACCAGATGGATCCTGGTAATGCCACATTTTCTCTGATTCATTAATTTGGCTTGTTACTCCCGTGGATGGAGGTGCAGGGGAAATTTCTGATGCAACCTTCAAAGATGGTTCCTGGATTACAATAGAGTGGGTATTCCTCGTCCCAATTTCTGAACTCAAAGCAGTTTTTGGCTTGCTCCAACTGTTTGGTTGTTGTGCTTCTCGCTCCCGTGCAAGACTCCATGAATTTTCATTTCCCATTTCACTAGCTCCGATAGAATCATCCCCTTTGCTTGTAAATCCTTTACCAGATACGTTCCTGCTTAATTCCCGATTCATGCTAGAATAATTTATGTTCCCACTCCAAGAATCAGTTGAACTGTAACCTCCTTTTCGCGGAGAAATTGGTTCTCTGCCTCGCCTGCTAAAACCACTACCTCTTGGCCTCAAAGAATTATCTGTATTAACCAAAAGATTATCAAGCACAAAAGACAAACAAGAGATAAAAAGAGTACATAAAAATTTTCACAAGAAAAAAGGACCTTGTTTCTTATCATCTTCCTTCTCTTCTTCTGATTCGTAACTAGGATCCATGTTGGGGTCTACATGTACCTCAGGAAACTCCTCTAATCTACGCTGTAGCTCTTCAGGTGTCTTTAAAACCTGCAGTTTCTCTACACATTCTCTAAGCGTGAACAAAAGTCAAGGACTACTATGAAACTGTCAGAAAGTCATTTCCATTAAAAAGAAATACATGATGAACTTTAGATGATCATTTAGTGTATTCATTAAAAATTATATACTTTATGGTTATAAATTATAATAAAGGAGCGTAAAGTAAAACTACTATAACGAGGCATCCTACTCTACCAAATCCCCAAATTTGGACACTTAAAAATTTGTAGGTCTCCGAGATTTAGGTGGGATATCTCTCCCTTTCTAACCTACAAGACGTTATGGACAAATGTGAGGTTTACTGGTCCTCTCAATCCAGACATCACAGTCAAGCCTCTAGCATATCCAATGTCCAAAAATGTTGTAAGACGTCAGAAACTAATTGATACCCATCCAACAATATTTTATGAGAATAAAATGCAGGCACTACTAAAATCATGAGCAAAGGATATTCCTTTCTACGTCCTAAATCACTGGCTCGATCACGAAGATGGCTGAGGCGTGTAATCTCCGATTCTAACCACTGCAATTTGTAACAGAGAAATTTTCGGTTATTCTTTTTTAAATAACAAAAGTTGATATGATACTACTCAAACAGATCAAATTCAGGATTAAGAACATGATCCTTTTAATATATTATTCATGTTTAACAAATTTCCCTCTTTTTTCAGGTATCATACTTGATCAAGAGTACCGACAGAAAAAGTGATGTTTCATGATTTTCAAGATCACAGAATATACTAATTAGCCATTCTCAACAAATAAAATGCCTCTTCATGCCTATACATATATAAATATATGATAACACCTAGTTGAAAAGAGAGGTACTTACATCTTTGACTCTGACTGCCTGGATTGCCATGGCCTTTTCCTGTATATCTCCCTGTAGCCATCGATAAATTTTGTAAAAATGACTCCAAATAACATTTAGAAAATATACAAAGATATCTGTGGGATAAAATATGAAATATGATAAAACAAGAAGTGAAAATTACCAGAGTCAGCCGGTTGATAAGTCCACACTTGATGCTCTGACGCAGACGCTTGCATTCATCCTAGTAGATTAATTGGCTTAGCATATTCTTAACCAAAAAAAACAGTTGATAAATATATACTCAAAACAAAATACTGCCAGATCGAGATTCCAATATATATCTCATAAGCAGGGATTTAAATAGCGGTCTGCGACCGCGATAGCGCCCGCGATATAGCTATAGTGGTGCACTCCAAAAACTCTATTATTTGACCACGACACCCATAATTACCGCAATAGCGCCTGCTATTCCTGTGATATAGCGGTAGCTGTGCCCTCCGAAAACGCGATCACGATTTGAATCCCTGCTCCTAGTACTACCGATACACTTTTTATTCCATATGAACAGGAGAAATAGGATTTCCATATTTACAAGCAAATAAAATAAATTAAGCAGGCCTCAAGCTTCTAGTGACAAATTTAGATTTTTTTTCTAGTACATGTATTCGGCAGGTTTCTAGAAAGTGCAGACTATTTTTATATCCAATACCTTCTTTAAAAGATTATATTGTACTTTAGTCAGAGAAAAGGACAGAGAACTCCATCAAAGATGCAGTTAGTCAATAACGGGAAAAAAATGCAATTCCAGACAGCTAATAACTACCTCAGTGAACTCTTGATTTGATATAATATCAATCGATACTGCCTCCGTCTTATTCAAATTTAGAATCTCTAATAGAAAATCAGTTGTTCTTTTGCCAACTCTATATGGTTCAGCAACTTTGCTTGTATCTGTACACCAAATCATTAAGTTCAACAATCTTATGAGATTTTGGTACTTGTGCTGAAGTAAAAAAGCAATGGTAGATGGTTTCCAGGTATTTACCAACAACTTGCACTAGCCTATACAAATCTTGCTTTTGACTAGCTCCAGATATTCGTATTCTCACAAAAGAATTGACAACCTTGTCATGGAATGTTTCAGTATCTTCAAGCAATTCCTCCACCAAATTTCTTCGCAAATAAATTAGATTAATATTATGTATATCAATGGCAGCATAATCCTCCACATTCGATTGAAGTCCCCTTCCATCACCCTTCTTACGGGTTTTACGTTTCTTATCTTTTCCAGTCTTAGTCAAAGCACCAGAGTTCCAATCAGCCTCGACCTGATTAGCTTCAGCATCGACAACACTCCCTTGGAAATCATCTGTCTGAGAATCCTCCTTGGTGAAAAATATGTGAGGATCCAGAAGATTTAACATTTCAATATGCCCCACTCTCGGTTTCCCAAACAGATTCTTAAGCATTGCGTCACAAATGACGTAAGACTTATTGCGACGATCTCGAAGCTTGTACTTTTGAATGTAGTCCAATATAAGTTGACTGAGCTCCATTCGAGATAAAACAGATTTGTCCCCGTTTCTCATGTTCATAACAACTTCCAAGAGCTCTTTTGATGCCCACTCAGCATTTTCATCTGTAGATGCCCCTTCATCACTAGCTGCCACAATGCTTGGTGAATCATCCTCCCTTGCGCGTGCCTTTGATTGACTCCTAGTCTTTCTCCGTTTAGAAACAGCTACTTCCACATTCCCAGAATAATTATCGGAGTCGGATCCTCCAGCATCATTCAAACCATGTTCATTAGGTGATTCCCGTTTGGCAGCACCTTTCCAGGGATTTTTTGCCAGAGCAAGTTCATCTGAAGTTATAGATAACCTCTCTTTTAGATCAGTCCAATAATCCTTGAATAGATATTCCCAGCTACCTCGGTCATCAAAATTTATTTGTGCCTGCAAAAGCAACAACAAATATAATGGGTAACCACAAAATGAAGAATTTCCACCAAATTGGTAGCAAGAGAGAGAGAAACCACTAATATATCTAAAAACCCCAGACAAGGAATGAATCAACAATTATATGTGAACAAAGCTACAAAATACTTCGTTATGACTTATGACTGTTGAATATATTTTGCATGTTTCTTGGTTACCCTCTACGCTCAGGCTCAGGCAAAAAAAATAGCTCGAGAAAGATACTAATCTTTTTGACATTATATGAGGAAAGAAAGTTGAATTACGAATTCCGCCTGTTACATTTACAACTTACCCATGAATAACCCTATTAACCTAAAAAAATTAATCAAAAGAAATTAAAATTTGAAACACAACAAATCAAGACAAATTGAGAGAAGTGCAGAAATGGTTCTAAATATCAAATTCCCACTAACTATTAAAATCATGGAAACCTACTTGAAATACAAAAGACAATAGCCTAAAATATTATCAGAAGAAACTAAAATTTGAAACACAATATATCAAGACAAATTGAGAGATGCAGAAATAGTTTCAAATATCAAATTCCTACAACCAATTAAAATCACGGAAACATACTGCAAATACAAAAGACAATAACAGGAGTCACACATTCTTAATGCGTATGTGACTAAAAACAACACATTCATGCTTGCAATGTTCAATAATAAAACGATTAAAGAATACAGCAAATGCAAAGACAAAAAAAAGAGAACGGAAATAAAATAACAGTATAATAGTATCATTTCTTCATTTACCTGCTCCTTCCTTTCAATCAACATGACAAGATTCATGCATGACTCACAGAAGCCTTTGTTACCCCTAACACATAGGATTACAGCATCTTTGATGCATCCCTTGCATAAGGAAAAGGTACATGTGTAACACATATAAAGGGCATTCTTCTTGCAGTTGCTACAAAGATGCCAACCTAATTCAAAGAAATCATAACTTGAATTAGAATAGAGATGTAAAAAGTAATACAAGACATTTTCTCTGTAAATAAAAATCAAAGTTGATAAGTGTAAATTATACATATACATTAAGCAAGAATGTCAACACATCATACCACAGTGTCAACTAACATATTTTTTACCTGCAGCATTTAACAGAAAGTAACAGCAAACAAGCAGTCACGTCAATAGGCAAACAAGAAGACACTCTAGAATACACATTCCACATCTTGAACAAGCACACTTGCATAAAGAATTCTAAAAGCTTATGAACCAGTCTTTCTTTCTTCGGGAGGAGAAAAAAAACTGTAGACAAATACAAGCTGCAAAAATGGTATAACCTTAATGTGAATATTCTAGTAGACCCTTTTTCACACTATAGAATGCTCGTCATTCATTGATGATCCCAAAGCGTATAACAAGCATGTAACATGGTTATCACTCGGTGGATTATGCCACAAAAGTTAGCTTATCCCACCAAATGCAACCTGAAATTACATAACCAGTTCTGTCAACTGTCTTGGCCATTGCTCATTCAAGTCAAAAAATCCATTTTCCATTCTAGTCCTTTTCTTTCGTTTTTCACACAAAGATTACACTCTTCAGTCCTCACTGCATCTTCTCATACTCATGACCATCTAAAAGTTAGGCTTTCTTAAGGAAAAGGGCACTAATCGGAGCTATGAAAGAAGAGAAAAGAAAAAATTCTAAGAAAATACCCAAAAGGTTTATCCAGTGTTCGCAAAATAGCAACCTCTAATCCCATAATCATTTAACACGAGTTACTGAAATTGCAAGTTCTTATTCCTTTTTTGCGCACAGTTTAAAGAAACAAAAGAGAAGCTGGTTGGCTCAAGGGCATTTAGGGCAGATCCAAATTGCCTTTTGCAAAGATAGCTACAAGCCATTTGAAGCCATCTTTACATCAGAACAAAATTGATCAAAAGTCCAGTTCAGCATCCATTGCACTCCATGTGAAATTTCAACTGTACATAGCACTAAGAAAATCACAAATTTGAAGTTGCTTGGCCCCAAATGCACAATTGCACACAAGTGGATATCTGTCACTTGTATATGAAATTCAATCAATTTGCAAGTTCCGAAACCGAGGTGACAATTTCCTGCTCACTTATAAAGTCAAAGTACAGCAGTTGCATGGTTCTGCACTTATGTTTAAACAAAAAGGCTGGTAACCAAGCTCTCGGAATCTTGACCAGTTGTATTACAAATATAAACACTTAAGTCACTGGAGAGCTCAGCCTTAATGACCTCAACTGAATATTTATCCGAGAGAAGGGTATCTGATGACCAAGAGAAGATTGCATTCCAGGACAATAACTACAATGTGCAGTTTCACTACAAATCCAAGCATTGCCACTTGCCAGTAGCCATTGTCTTGACTCGGAATGATAGGTGAACCCTAATTGCTACAGAGAGATACTACACTTCAAATGTTCTTTTGAATGCCATTAAACCAATTCGAGGAGAATCCAAAACTTAACAGTGTGCTGGGAAAAACTAAACACTGAACTTCCAGTGCCTTCAGAAAAGCCCACTCCAGCAAGTTTCACTGTCATTTACATCAAACGTCTTGCAAAGAAAAGAAGTAACAACTTCAATAATGAGTAGAATTTCAAACCTAGTTCTCTTGGTTCAAGGTGTTTTTTGTTTTCATCCATCATTTCATCTCATCTTTTCCATCGCCGCCCGCCAACGTTCATCATCGCCGTCCGCCGTCTACAGTCCGCCGCCACACTCCGTCATCCGTTCGCCGTCATTTTTACTCAGGAAGATAGCCACCTCACTCTGATTTCATTTTTGAGATTAGATTTACGAGGAAGTCAGTCATTCAGCGCAGATCTAAACGCCGTTCTTCACCGATTTTCGCCTCCGACCGTCGTCGGTGCTCGGTCATACCACCGGGCTCGTTGTTCACTCGCGATCTAATTCCATCTATCCAAGCGGACAGACTCGCTGCCATTCTACGTTAATCTTCCTTTGACCGTTTCGTCAAAAACAGAACCAGCCATGGTTCTGCCAAGCTGTTCTCCCAATCTAATCCTTCTCTGAGAGTTTCGTTGAAAGACAACTACGTAGCTCCACCTTTCCTCAGGCTCAAATCTGCCTGTCGGACTCTCTTCTTCACTTCCGTCCTTCTCTTCTTCGTCGGCAGTCACTGATTTCACGATCCCGATTTACTCTGAGGGTTTCGTTGAAGTCACAGCTTTCTCCATCGTCGGGCGCGTGACCGGGATTTAACGTCAGGTCACTGAGATTTCCTCATATGTCGGGTGCTGGAATCCATTCTTGTCACCAGCAGAGACCTCCGGTCCTTGCTCCTCCGCCCTCTGCTGCATCGCCTTCTCCGCCATCTCACCATTCCCATCATGACAATGTTCGTACTATCTTCATTTCGGGTCTTCCTGAAGATGTCAAAGAGAGAGAGCTGCAAAATTTGCTGAGATGGCTTCCAGGTTATGAAGTCTCGCACGTGAGCTACAAGGGAGAAAAGCCTAAGGGTTTCGCTCTCTTCTCTAATGCAAAATTTGCAGTTGCTGCCAAGGATGCCCTTCAGGAGATGGTTTTTGATGCAAAGTTGAAGTCCCTTTTGCACATTGAGATGGCAAAGAAGAATCTAGTTGTTAAAAGAGGAATAGGTACAGATTCTGACATGTATGGATGTTATCTTGTTCCTCCAGTACTGCCAGTGCCGTATCCAGCTCCGATAGTGTCTCCAAGTATTCATGTGCCTGATAAATCTGGGGGTTGTGTTGAAAAGTCTGCTGCAGATGTTGTCCAAGATGGAACCAAGGAGTCAAACACAAAGGGGTACATCAATGACAAGTCTGGATGCTACACGTTATTTATTGATAATTTACCAGAGAAGATCCATTGGAAGAGGTTTGGATCTTTATTTTGCACCCACGGACGGGTAATTGATGTTTTTATTCCAAATAAAAGAAATTCAAAAGGTGTTCGCTTTGGTTTCATTCGCTTCGCAACAAACGTAGAAGCAAGGAAAGTGATCTCTATAATGAATGGTGCTCATATTGACGGCAGCAAAATTGGTGTTTCTTTCACTAAATTCAAACCTCGTCATTCCTACTGGAGAAAGTCCTCCGCAATTGTTCATCTCAAGACTGGGATGGAAGTTGTATCGAGGAATAATCATGGGGAAGTTGAAGGAGTGGTGGACGACGATAAACTTCTCGTATTGAGTAATTGTCTAGTGGGGCGGTGTAAGAACTTGGTCAAAATCAGTAATCTTGCTAATCAAATGCAAGCCAAGGGCCTCACTGGTTTCTTGATAATGAGAGCTGCTGGAAATGCAGTTCTATTGGTTTTCGAAGACTCGGCTTCGTTGAGAAATGTGCAGATCGATAAATCAGAGATACTTGCAAAGTGGTTCTCCAGAGTTGAAGCTTGGTTAGAGAGTTTGGTAGTTGAGCGACATCGAGTGTGGTTAGTTTGCGAGGGTGTCCCTTTTCATGCTTGGAATTGGGATACTTTCAAAAACATTGCAAATAAGTGGGGTCATTTATTAGCAATCGACGAAAACTGTCAGTCACCATCATCTTTTGATCGGACAAAAATACAAGTCCTCACAAATCTTCATGTGAGAATCAATGAGACGTTGAAATTGAAGGTCGGTGACAACTCCTTCAAAATCATGGTGCATAACGAAGTAGATTCTCATTAGATCTCGTCTCTTCAATTGCGACTTTGATTTAGTGTATAAGGTTGCAGGTGTTGGTTTTCTCTTGTATTTTGTTATTTTGAGTTGTTTGTTATCCTAATGATGGAGGTGTATCTTAGAAATATGATTTTTGCCAATTGTGGATTTTGGTCAAGGAAGCGAGAGTTTAAGGTGTTTGTTGTAATGGTGTATATCACCATAGGAGGATATTTTGTGTTCTCTCGTGTATTGGGTATTATTATTAATAAACTATGGGGTACTATTTTCTTCCTTCCAATGTTCGTTAACATACTTCTTAGTGTGTGGACGAATACGAAGGGAGTTTTTAATGAGACCTCCAACTTCTATAAAAAAAACAACTTCAATAATGATGCAATTAAATACGAAAGGAGAAAGGGATATCAGAGTTCAAAATTGTGATGCTCATGTTCCTAAATCTGTATCAGCCAGCTAGCAAACATCAATTTAATATACTTGAAGTACAAACAAAATAGCACCACCGTGCCAAGCAACATATTGGTTCATAACTTCATATTGCACGAGGCCCTAAATAAACTCAGATATTAGAAGTTAGAGAGTGCAATAAGCAACTTACCACAATTCCATTTACCCCTTGATTGAAAGAAAGCATCATCACGACCAACACAAGCAGAATGGTAAGCCTTTGGGCAACCCCTAAGGAGGAAAAACAACAAAAAGCATAAGACATTTAATATACATATACAACTTGCATGAGAATCGGTTTTGGTAGACTCACCTGCGGTCACAAAGCACAAGGGCGCCACCATCAAAGCATATGAAACAGACATCCTCTTCTGCCTTCTTATTAGATAAAGCTTTTGCCAGAACCTTAGTACTTGAATTCTTTCCCCGCTTCCTCTTGCCACCACTAGCTTTACTGCTATCCTCTATCTCCTCCGTGCCCTCCGTCAGCTCTGCTGCCTCAGTTTCCAACTCTTCCGTCATGTCTGGCAACTCAGTATCATCTGCTGCTTCCATTACCTCTGCAGTATCTGTCATCTCGGTCTCAGTCCCCTCTGCTTCGTCAACATCATCTCCTATATTTCCCAACTCAGTATTTTCTTCGTCATCCAATTCCTCTTCCATTACAGGGTCCTCCTCAGCCTCGTCCATTTCCGTACCTGCTGCCCCTACGGCATGAATATCCTCCATATTTTCAGTTTGCCCAGGCACATTATTCACCATATTTTTTTCCATCACAGGGTCCTCCTCTGGCTCGGCCATATCAGTACTTACTTCCTCTACAGCATGAATATCCTCCAAAATTACAGTTTGCTCAACCACATTATTTACCCTTTTTTCTTCCAAAGTTACACCTTTCTCAACCATGTGAGTACCAGTTTCTCCCGCAACCTCAGTCGGAACTGCAAGATCAGCCACGGGTTTCTCCAGAAATTCACTTTCCTCAGCAATGTCATCCACCCCAGTTTTATCCATAATCCCACTTTGATCCACCTCATTATCAACCAGTAATTCACTTTTCACAGATACATCAGCCACCTCTCTTTTCTCCATAATTACAGTTTCCTCCTTAACCAAGGTTTGCTGTGTTGAATCATCCGCTTCTACTGCTAAGGTTGTTTCTTCCTTAACAAAAATTTCCTCCGTCGCACCATTCACCTCTGCCTTATCGTCAGTCCCTCTTTCACCCACCCCGTCAAGCAACTCTTTCTCCTCTGGAACATCTAGTCGGTCATTTACATAATCAGCTACCTTTTGCTCCACCGATTTACCCGCTTCCTCAGCCGACTCAACAACTTCTTGCTCCGCCACAGAAACCTCAATCCCTCCAGCTGTTACTCTTTCATCCGACAAATTAGCCTCATCCTCCACTTTGTCCATCACATCATCCAATCCCACATCCTCCACCAATTCAGCTTTCTCCCCTTCCATACGGCTGTCCCCTCCATCACCATCTTCGTTATTACCATCAACCGGAGACGAACTTTTTAGTTCAACAACAGCACCAATCTCATGCTTCTCCTCTCCAACAATCAAATCCCCGCCGCCCTTTTCATCACCAACCGCCACCTCCACATCAGCTCCCTTCCCCTCATCTTCCTCTTCCTTTCCATCAACAGGGGACGCCGCTGTCGTAGCAGACTCGAGCTCGGAACGTGACTCAGTGTTTTGATTCTGTAACTCGGAGTACGTGGCTGTAGTCATCTGGTAATCGTCAAATTGAACGGAGGAATCGACATTGGGGACGTGGTGAGGCTCTTCTTCCTCAGTATCCATACAAGGAAAAATAAAATCAAATGATTTGCAAAATTAAAAAGCGAGTGAAACCCTACAGATTGAAAGCCCTAGGGTTTTGAGTTCTGGGTAAAATCGGGCGACGTTTTATCGTTTATTGATTTTTACTTTTAAAAATAATATTTTTACTTAGCGAAATGAAAAGAATCGGAGAGAGTGAGAGAGACGGTGTCGCCGTTCGCAGATATGAAATGAAAACACTAGTAGAAACGAGCTGGCGAATATTTTTAGTTTTTTTCCGGCAGGTAAATTATTTGAGAAAATAAGATAATTAGAAGTTTATTTTAAGATTTACTATATTTTTATGGTATTTATAAAATTCATTATACCTCGTGTTTTAATAAAAAAAATATTTAAATTTATTATATCGAAGTGTTGAATTTTAATAAAATATATTTATTTAAATTTTATAATATTAAAATTAAATTTTTTTAATAAAAAATATTTTTTATTAAAATTCGTCACTTTAATATAAAAAAATTTAAGTCATTATAGCAAATGTCATATATCTTTAAGGGTGCGTTTGGTTTACAGAATATAATATTACCAGTGGGAATAGGATTATCAGTTGGAATTAGATTACTGTTAATGTTGTATTTTGTGTTTGGTTCGTTTAACATGAATGTAAGATTACCGTGTTTGGTTAAAGGAATAAAAGATTATTAGAATGTATATTTTACCAAATTGTCCTTATTATATATTTGTTTTTTAATAAGTTGAATTCTACTATAATTTTACTATAATTAATTTATATATTTTCTTTAAAAAATTAAATTCATAAAATTTATATAAATTTTTTTACAAAATTAAAAAGATAAATAGGTTTAATGAAAGTGTAAAATTTTATTTTAACCCCTGAACTTCATATAAAATTCTAACTTGACTTTTTTTTGTAAATCTAAAATGGTTTAAGGATAAATTTGTAATTTAACATTCGTATATTTTTTTTCAATGACAGAAGAATGATATTTTTGAAAGAATTTTTTTAAAGGCATTTTAGTCCAAAACACCGGAAATCCAACAATACCTAAGGAAACGGATGTAATCACATTCCCGGTAATATACCCAAAATACCATTGTTGGTAATAAAAGATTACCGGGGGCTGGGAATGTTGGCCAACCACGGAGAAATGAATTAGAATCTGTGAAGGAATTGGAATCCAATTCCATATTCTATTTGGTTGGCAGAAAATGAAATTGGAATTCAATTCCATATTTTGTTTAGTTCACAGAAATATCAGATGAATTTGATTTCAGTAATGTAAAATGACATAATTGCCCTTCTTATTTTTTTTACTTTATTTTAGTTTGTTTTACAACTTACATGTAGTAATATATTATAAAAAATTAAAAAATATTAAATTTTCATTTTATTGATTAATTATTCATTTCAATAAATTATAAAAATCATGTTAATAAACATTATAAGTTAAAATCATCGCAATCAAAATATGTTAATAAGTTACCAAAAGATAGAGCAATATTTCGATACATTCCAATCGGAGTATGTTAATTAGTTACCAAAAACTATTTTTATTCAATATATGAATTAGAAACCCGACCCGACACAACACAAAATAATAATAAAAAATTATTTTTATTCAATAAAAACATTGACTTAATTGAAAAAAAAAATTATATATAGAGTGGTATTATTATAATTATTCCTAAATATAGAAGGTAAAATTATATATTTTTTCGGGTCGGTACGGTTTTTTCACCCTAAACCCGACCCCGACCCGAATATCACTCTTAAAAAAACCCGACCCGACCCGAATATCAAACTTAAAAAACCTGACCCGACCCGAATATATGAATAAGAAATCTTACCCGACCCGACCCGAAATAATAAAAAATTATTTTTATTCAATAAAAACAGTGACTTAATTGAAAAATATATATATAGAGGGGTATTATTGTAATTATTCCTAAATATATAAGGTAAAATTATATATATATATTCGGGTCGAGTATTTTTCACCTTAAACCTGAACTCGACCCGACCCGAAATAATAAAAAAATTATTTCAATATATGAATAAGTTACCAAAAGATTGATGAGGGTAGTATGGTCAAATTTCAATTCCCTCCAACAAGGGAATTGAATTCCATCCATTCTTGGATGGAATTCACTTTCCCTCATTTGATAGAAAGTTGAAGCCATGAGGGATTCCAATTCCCTTGGAAAACTTGAATCAAACATGGGAAAGTGGTGGAATTGGATTCCAATTCCCCCCAATTACAAGGGATTACATCCAACCAAACGCCACCTAAGGGAAGACAACCTACTATAAGGCTAAAAAATGACAACCTTGAGCGTAACCGAAAATGTGATGAAAATCTTAACATTTTAGGTTGAAAGACGTAAAATGTTATCTTTTTCCTAACATTTTCAATTGAACCGAAAATGTTATTTTTTCATAACATTTTCGGTTGCACCTAATCCAAAATGTTATTATTTTTATCACATATTTTGTTACACTCAAAATTATTTTAAACTTATATTAGGTTGTGGCTTAACAAAATCACTCACTTTTCTTATTCCATTATTCCTTCATATTGGCGGCTTTTTCACTCCTGGCCATATGGCGCTTAAACCCAAACTCTATTTCTTCAAAGCCTCCACTTCTGTCGATATCGTCGAAGCAACCTCAACCGTCCCTCAAGCCCCACCACACCAGGGTCGTATTTGGACCTGGGTAGGAGGGGTACATGCCCAGACTTATAATTTTTTTGGATAATTTTATTTCATTACCCAAGAAGCAGGAAACTGCTACAAAATACAGTGTATAAAAAGGAAATAAACAGAACAATTAATCAAGGCCAAGACAGCAAACAAAACAGACCCAAGTTACACATGAAAAGAAAGCAACAGAACAGACTCCTCTATGTAATACCCCAATTTTCACACAAAACATCATTGGCTGGTTCTGTTCTGCTAAACGCCAAATATTGTAGGCGTATATGAATGGTGTTCTTGATGTCTTCTAGCACATCATCCTTGGCTCGACTTTTTCTGCCAAATAATCTATTGTTTCTTTCCATCCAAATCCCATATATGTGACCAGTCCAAGAAAGTTTTAAAACACGAATAATGAGAGACTTGCCTTTAAACAAACGAACAGCCCAGGTCAGTTCACCATTCCAGCTGCTAACTCCACGTTCAATGCCACAAAGATCAAGGATGGATCTCCATAGCTCTTTAGCAAAGTTGCACTCAAAAAATAAATGTTCTCTAGTTTCTAACACAATACCACACAGTAAACACATGTCAGTTTCGATGGATAAGCCCATTTGAACAAGCCTAACCCGAGTAGGCAATCTATTAAGCATTGTCATCCATGCTACAATGCTAAATTTGGGAATGCGCCCAGAGAACTAGATCAGATGGTGCCAGGGAATTTTAGGGGCAGCAGCACGCAAATTATCCTAGATTTGCCTAGTGCTCAGTTCACAAACCTGACCCGAGAAGAGATGAGCAACTTCAAGCCTGATTTCTAGCAAGTGCTTGAAGTTCCAGCTAGCATTTGCAGGGATAGCCATCTGCCAAAAATCAGTATTCTTAATAAGATAAGAATGCATCCATGCCACCCAGAGGGAGCCCTCATTAGCCAAGAGCTTTATAATTAGCTGCACAATGCAAGCCTTATTCCAGCACCCCACATCTTGCAGCCCCAATCCCCCCTCGGATTTCATGAGACAAATTTTCTTCTAGCTAACTCTTGCACTTTTAGCAGGTACATCAGAACCCTTCCAAAAAAAACGAGAACATAATTGCTCCACTTTCCTAATGATCGCGAGCGGCAGTATAAGTTGTCTACACCAATAGTTTGAGATGCTAAGCAGAACAGAACGAATGAGCTGTAATCTCCCAGCAAAATTAAGGCGCTTATTAGCCCATAAGCTTAGCTTTGTTCTTATCTTGTCAATAAGGGCTTGACAGTCCTTCACAGCCAATTTTCTTGTAACCAATGGAACTCCCAGGTAACGAACTAAGAGAGTACCCAAGCTAAAACCAGTAAGTTCCCTGATGAGACTGTTATGCTCAGCAGAAATACCAGAAACAAATATCTCACACTTTCTAGCATTTAACTTCAAACCTGACATGAGATAGAATTGATCCAAAACAGCTTGTACCCCCATGACAGAGTCAAGAGATCCTTTGCAGAAAATAAGTAGATCATCCGCAAAGCAAAAGGTGAGTGAGCCTGATCCTCTTACACTTAGGTGATAGCCAAAGACCCCGTTTAAAGCAGCCATATTTAAGAGATTTGAAAGCACATTCATGGCTAAAACAAAGATGTAGGGCGAGAGGGGATCACCCTGCCTTACACCTCTAGCACATTTAAAATACCCAACAAGACTACCATTGAGAACAATAGAGTACCTAGGATAAGCAAAGCAAGCCCATATCCAACTAATGATCTTTTCAGGCAATCCCAAAGCATGCAGAATCACCCCTATAAACTCCCAATTCAAGGAACCAAAAGCCTTCTGCAAGTCAATTTTAAGTGCACACCTAGGAGACATGTTCTTCCTAGAGTAGCCCCTCACAATTTCTTGGGCTAATAGAGTATTGTCTATTATGCTTCTCTCTTTCACAAAAGCAGTTTGGTTCATAGAAATCATGTCAGGGAGAGAGTCTATCCACTAAGATCCTAGTGATTGTTTTGTAAACAACAGAACAACACAAAATAGGCCTAAAGTCTTTAATTAGACTCGGATTCAGGACTTTAGGGACCAAGACAACAACCATTGCATTGAAAGAGTTAAGCATAAAAGAGTGGTCAAAACAATACCTTATTGCAGCCAATAAATCATCCCCAACAACAGCCCATGCTCTTTTGAAAAAGAAAGCATTATATCCAACAGAGCCATGTGACTTGTTGTTTCCCTGCCCCTATAAGGCCTCCTTAATTTCAGCATAAGAGATATCATTGCATAAAGTGTCAGTTGTATTCCTTGGTAATGAATAGCCAAGTAACTCCTTAACAGTGCTAATATTGCTGCCCTTAACCTCAGGATCATCTACTCCCAACTGTTTCACAAAGAAATCAACCACCTCATTAGACATGGCATCAAAAGTGTCAAGCCTTTCACCTCTATGATTGAATAAAACTCTAATTGTGTCGTTCTTTCTTTTGCTCGCAACCATAGAGTGAAAAAATCGGGTACCATAGTCACCATCTTTAATCTAGTCCGCTTTTGCTTTTTTCCTTATAGAATAACATCTCTGCTTCCTCAAGGGACCTCAATTCCTTCTTGGTCTTCACTTCAGCATGTATGGCCATACCAGCAGTAGCTGAGTCAAGATTGGCAAGATGCAATCTCTTTAATTCCTCCCTCTTATCCCTAACTTGCCCCAAAATATCACTGTAGCATATTCTATTAAGCTCTTTGAGAGGTCGCTTCAATATTTTTAGCTTAAGGTAAAGGGATTGTATGGGATTAACGTTGATAAGAGTCTGCCATGATTCTTTGATGATGGCCATGAAATTGGGATGCTCAGCCCAGAAGTTAAAAAATTTAAATGGTTTAGGCATAGCAGCTGGAATGTCCTTATGCAACCATACAAGTGTTGGGCAGTGATCAGAGTCCCCAGGGGCCTGGAATTCAACATCAGAAGCCGAAAAAACATCAATCCAGCTAGAACTAACAAGGACTCGATCCAACTTACGTGCCAAAAATGAATCATGTTGTTTATTAGTCCACGTGAACAATGGACCAGTGAAAGGGTGGTCAAGCAGACCAAGATCCTCCACACAATTCTGAAAATCAGAAATATCAGCCAACGTGTTAGAATTTACTGGATAAGAGCTTTCCTCAACACTTAAAATGGCATTAAAATCGCCTCCAATTAGCCAAGCCATACCTCCCACAAAAGCTTCAATAGTATTAAGCTGAGCCCATAGCTGCTTACGAATGAAACTATCATTCGACCCATACACTGCAGATATACAAAAACTGGAATTCCCCGAGCAACCTTCAAAAGTAATACTTTGATAAAAAATAAATATGATGATACAATTAACATTTTTTTGCCAAAGCACCCAGATGCGACCATTATCAGCATGCCTATAGTTACAGCAGTAGTGCCAGTCACTGAACTTATTAGACAGAATAACAATGGAATTAGTCTCCTTCACTCTTGTTTACAGGAGACATAGGATGCTAATTTGGTTTTTGATGGCCCAATTCAGAACTTTTCCTTGATTAAAGAGACTGTTGAGGCCCCTTGTGTTCCAAAAATAGATTAACATACAACAATGCAGGAGGAAGAGACACCACCACCCCTATCCTCAATTTATTTAACTTTGTCCACATGTTCTTTTCTCTTCATTTTCAAATCTTACACTAACTTAGCTACACCCAAGGAAGCAGCTCTGTGTTTTTTACCAGAATCAACCATAGAGGATTCTAACAGATTTTCAGGGTCAACAACGCTAAGGACTTCAAACTTATTCTTTAAAGCACCAATAACCTTGCCCTCATTAGCTGGCCTACCCCGTCCCCTCTTAACAAAGGGCGGTTGCTCAACTTGTTTAATCATTGCCACCTTATCATCTGTAGCAAGGCAGTTTCCATCTAAAGGTGAGGTATCATTAGGAATTCCAGTTGAAACATCAGCAACCAGACCAGCTTGTGAATTTACAGGAGCATGAAGATCTTTGCTGGAGCAGATCTCCTTAGATGTTGCACTAGAAGCAACAATAATATTCTCCAGTGCCATGTCCTTAGCATGAGCATCTTGCTAAGCATCCTTCACATGCCCCTTAATTCTCCAAACCTGTTCATCCTTTTTCCCGTTCCCCCAAGGGTAAAATCTCACAGAATGCCCAAACCTCCCACATTCAGTGCAAGAACTTGGCATCCAGGGAACCGAAACCCTCACTTGTGCTACTGAACCATTATTCAAAATAACATCAATGTTGTCCTGGATTGAAGACCCAGCAGGAACCTCAACACACACTCTAGCATATTCCAGTCTTTCCCTAGAATCTGTAATTGAATCCATATGTAAAGGCTTTCCCACAATACTTGCTATATAACTCAACCCTCTCTTAGAGTATAACTCAAGAGGAACGTTGAATAGATGGATTCAGACAGGCATAAAGCATAAATCGAATTGTAATTCTTTCATATTGGGCTCCCATTTCCTAAGAAATAACGGCTTGTGTTGAACATGTCACGGACCATTATCTAATATCCAATCCCTAGCAGTCGAATTTGCAAAAGAAAAAACATATAGGTTTGACCCAGCTATCCTCACATTGAATGGAGAAACCTTGCTCTATAGCAATGCAACTATCTTTTGAATAGAACTGAAGCTTGGAGCCGAGCCAATAAATTACCCAACTAACCCATGCTTTCAGTCTTGTATACCTTCCTCGAACACCTCTTTCGGCGGTTGCACTATACACGAACCCTCAACCACTACTAATGGAAAATAATCTAATTCCTGATCAATCCCCGCCGCAAAAAACCCTCAACAATCAGTGGAGCCATCTCCTGACATAATCCACCAAAACCCCTAAAAACCAGCCTCAGAAACGCTGGAGAAAACTACCCGATCAGAAGAAGAAGATCCACATTCGCCCGCTGTTAGACCAACTAACATGCACCGAGAGAGAAAACGGTTTTTTTTGCAGACTCATAATTTTTATAATGTATTATATTTATAAAAAATAGTTTTTATCAATTAGAGGGTCCAATTATTTTTAATACTTGTTATTATTGGTTCAATTTTTTCTAATATTTATTATTATGAGCTCAATTTTTTAATAACATTTATTATTTGGGTCTTACTCTTATAATTTTGTTTTTCTAATATTTATATGTGTCCAATTTTTGCCAATATTTTTCCTAACATTTTTTTATTAAAGCCCTAATCTTTTTTTCAATACTAATTATAATAGGCCCGATTTTTTAGTACTTTTATTAGATGCTCAATCACGCTGATGCTTTAACCTATAACCTCTAGAAATAACAATGATTCCTTTAACCACTGAAGTAAGTTAGTTCATACTTAAAATTTATTTTTTATATTTATTATTAGGGATCTATTTTTTTAATATTTGTTATTATGGAGTTACTCTTAAAATTTATTTTTTTCAACACTTATTATTAAAAATAATTACTTAAATAATGGTCCACAATAACATTAATCTCTAAAATTCATGTGTGTTATTGACATATTATTATTTGAATTGATCTCTAAACTTACAAGTAAAAGATTAAAAAATAATCTTTAAATATTTTTTAACTTAATTTTCTCTTAATATTTTTGCAATATCTTCATTTTTCTCTTCTTATTTGATTGTTATTTAATCGGCGACGACATCAATTTTAGTGTTAGTTGTCGATCGTCGATGGTTGTTAGTTCTTTTATTTTTTTTCTATATTATATCATTTGTTTTTTTTCTTGATATTTTTAATGTCTGCTCTTGTTCTTGTGACACACATTTTCTCTGCTATTGTGACACAATCCTTATGATTTTTTGTACGTCTTTCGCATATTGTTACGATCATTTTAATGTTCGCACAAAAATCATCATCACATTTCTTTTGGTCCAATTGCTATTGTTAAAAAAAAGTAATGGTATTCCAGTGACCACCCAACTATAGTACTTTTTCATTTCGACCACCATTTTTAATTTATTACCAATCAGACCACTAGACGTTAACAGTTAACGAAAGTGTTGATGTGGAAATTAATAAAATTGGTATAATTTACATTTAGTCATTGTTACTTGTACAATCTATCAAATTGGTCATAATTTTAAATTAATTCAATATATTTAATCCTCCAATTATATGATGACATATGTCATCATATGATGGAAGGAAAATAAATTGAAACAATATTGTCCTTTAGGGGTAGGGGGTGGGAGGAATTGAACATGGGCCTCCTTGAATCACAAGCAACAACCTCAATCACTACTCCAAAATTAATTTTTAATATAATATTTACATCAACTAATATTTATCTTATAATATAACGAAGGTCAGAACAATGAAAAGAGAAGCAACACTCAAACGACTTGATTCAAATAAATTAATATTTTAAAATATATTGTTTATATTCAAGCCTCCTACCCATAAAATATATTGTTTATATTCGATCCACCCGACTTAATTCGAATAAATTAATAATTTAAAATAGTTAAAACAATACACTTGTAATTATTTATTATTTTTTAAATTATTAAAATAATATATTTTTTCTTTAAACTCGATCCGATTTGAATATATAAAAAAGGCAAATTAGTAATTTATACCGGTTTAGATCGAATCAATAAACCAACCCCACCTCGATTAGAATATATTAATACTTTAAATAGTTAAAATAATACATTTATAATTATTTATTATGATTTAAATAGTAAAAATAATATATTTTCCCTTAAAACTAACCCGATTTGAATATAGTTATAAAAGAATAAACTAGTAATTTATATTAAATTGGATAGAGTAATTTTAGTATTGTTTCTATTTTCATTATTCTGACCTTTATTAGTAAGCATTATACCAAAAACTAGTCTTAGAGTAGTGGTTGAGGATGTTGCTTATCATCCAAAGAGGCCGAGGTTCAATTCTCACCTTTTCAAAGGATGTTGTTTTAATTTATTTTTCTCATGGTGACACATTCATAAATGGTGGTTGAAATGAAAATGGGTTATTTAGTTAGATGGTGACTGGTACATTTTACCCAAAAAGTAAATATATTAAATTCTAAATATGTAAAGAGAATCAGGACTGAAATCAGAATTAGACCAGGAAAAATGAGAAGACTCTCTTTTCGGTGTGGTTCCCTGAGAAACACGTCCCTCCTTTTTTGTTCAACTCTTCAATGCTAAAAAATACAAGCTATCTCTTCGACTACAGTACAAAGCTCTCCTTTTCGGGAATCAGCTAGCGGCTTAAAAGTTCACTGGGAAAAGAAAAACCCATGAAAATGGAGGTGATTTGCAGTCCCTCGTCTCTTTCATGGACTCGTTCCATCTCTCATTCTCTTCACATCCCTCACTCTTTCTCTGTAATGTCCGAGTACTCCCAAATTCACCGCTTTTTACTTCATTCCTGCTTTCAACTCGTGACCGTTGTTTGTTCTTTCTGGTTTTGTGGTTTTAGGTGGGGGAGACGAGCAGGTTCAGGGTTTCTTGTAGTGCTTCTCAGTCCCAGAAGGTTTTTTCTAACGATTTACCACCTCTGTTAACTTGAAAGCTACTTTCAAGGACCATAAATTTATCATGTTGATGAAATATTTTATGTTAGGGGCGGATTTATAAAATTTTAGTGGACGAAAATTGATTGTCAATAGAAAATATAAAGAAAAAATATGTGAGAATTTGAAATTATCCCCTCCATCCCTTCTCGGAGTTGGAGATACATCTTTTTTATTCTTTATAGGTTGTTGTAGGCAAATCGGATGACTGTATCAGTGACGGGAGCTACCGGTTTTATAGGTAAAAGATTGGTGCAAAAACTTCATGCAGGTACCAATAGTTATTATTGAAGATTATTTATTGATTAGTTTCAAGTCTTCTTTTAGCAGCAAATTGACTTTTAACATAATCGAAATGCAGATAAACTTGGTGTTTTGTTTTGACACGGTCTAAATCAAAAGCTGAGTTAATATTTCCTGGTAAGAAGGCATGCTCTACATCGCTTTCTACATATCGATTATCGAAGTTCGATAGAAATCTTTTTGACATGAAAGGGTGAACCTTTGGGAGTCTGAATCAAGCAAACTTTAAAGCTTATCTACATATAGGTGTACATAGATATGCACCTACTTATCTTTTTCCCCATTGCTTGTAGTGAAGAATTTCCCAGGAATCATAATTGCAGAAGAGGCTGGGTGGAAGGATTGTATTGAAGAATCGAATGCGGTTGTAAATTTGGCTGGAATGCCCATAAGCACAAGATGGTCTGCTGCGGTTGGTGCTGGAAGAATTATCTTTCATCCTAAATTTTGTAATATGTTGTGAGATAGACACAAGCGTTTTAGCCCAACAGGAAAGAAACTGTCTAGTGTATGATTAGCTATCATATACGGCTGCACAATCAAAGGATATAGAATTGTCAGCCCGATGTGCACACACACACACACATTGTTTGATTGACGACATTGGCTAAGTGATGCATCGAATATTGAGCCTTCAACGACATTTACGTTAAGCGTCTATTACACTATCGATCAATTAGGTCTCTGTTAACCACTTTTGAAATCGATAGGGTTGCATCTTCTCATGTCCCTGAATGCTATTTGTTCCTTTATATGTATTGCAGATTAAAAAGGAAATTAAGGAAAGCAGGATCAGAGTCACGTCAAAGGTTAGCCTTTTCATTTTCATTACTGGTACCTGCAAGTTGGAAGCGATGACATTCTGTCACCTCATAACTGTTTCGCCATTGCTCTTTTTTGTTGATGTTAAGGTTGTAGATTTAATTAATAATTCACCTCGAGAAGTTCGGCCTACTGTGTTAGTTAGTGCAACCGCTGTTGGTTATTATGGTTTGTATCTCTTTCCTTTTTTTCGGCATACTTTCATGAAATGTTGATCTAGGATGATCGACTTCAGCTGCTGTTAGGCTCCTCTGATGTTCTTAATTCCACCCTTTTCTTCCTGAATGCTCAGGCACGAGTGAAACACTAGTATTCGATGAGAGCAGTCCATCAGGAAATGATTACTTGGCTGAGGTAAGAAAGAAGAAGATAAACCAAGACGAGCATTGTTATCTCCTTTCACTAATGCTAGCAACTTGCTCAGGTTTGTAGAGAATGGGAGGGAACAGCGCTTAAAGTAGATAAGGATGTTAGGTTAGCTCTTATTCGCATCGGAGTGGTACTTGGAGAAGATGGCGGTGCTCTAGGTATAACCGATGCTTTTCTTTTGCTCTCGCTCACCCACATATACATGCCTGTCATGATTAAAAACAATAGGGGTCTAAGCCAATCTAGTTATCCTTCTTATTTACTTTGCAGCTAAAATGGTCCCTCTCTTCAAGATGTTTGCCGGAGGACCTTTGGGATCCGGAAAGCAATGGTATGACATCATCTCTAGAACCGACCTATCCGCATTTGACATCTTTTTGTTCTTCCGAGGGATCTTTCGTCCTGCTCGTATCACTTCTGCTTATCTACTTTTTGATCATGTTTCTTATATAGGTTTTCCTGGATTCACGTGGATGACATAGTGAACCTAATATATGAAGCTTTATCCAATCCATCTTATAAAGGTTATCTTCTATGCATAAATGCATTTAAGTTTTTGTGGTGAATAAACCATTGTCGTGGATCAACTAGATCAAGATTTCTTCTCTTCTCCTGCTCGTTTATTATGTTCATTCAGTTTTCTGTTGTATCATAACGACGGTCCATCTTCGGTTTTGCTTTACCTGAATGTCATCATTAGGTGTTATAAACGGAACTGCACCAAATCCGGTTCGATTGTCGGAGTTGTGTTCTCAATTGGGAAATGCCATGGGCCGACCATCATGGCTTCCGGTGCCCGACTTTGCCCTCAAAGCAGTATTAGGGGAAGGTGCTACAGTGGTAAGTGCCCTTTCTTCTTGACTACATTGATACAAAGCATATGCATTTGGTTTTTCAATTTGTTCTTTTTTGCAGGTTCTGGAGGGACAGAAGGTGCTCCCTGTAAAAGCCAAGGAATTGGGTTTCCCATTTAAGTACCCTTATGTTAAGGATGCCCTTGAATCCATTCTTAAATAGAAATTTCTAGGGTTCTTTCAATTTTTTGTTATTAGAGGTTTCAAAATTCGGATCAATATGGTAAAAATTCATTATAAGAACGGTGTTTCCAAGTTAATTATCTCTACTTTCAATACTCCCATCATGAAAATTAGAAAATTGCTTTTATTTAAAAAAAAATTAACATTTTATTCTAGTAGATCAATGTGTAACTAATAAAGTTTAAATCATTTTGATCAACTTTTTAATTAGTATTTTTTATATATTAATAAAATAATTAAAAATAAAATCCATATTTATATATCTTTTCAAGGAAGGTAATAATAATTACACGACAAAAGTGACGAATCTATAAATATTTTTGAAGATAGACAAAAAATTATTATTAATGATATAAAATTTTTATATAACAAAAAATTTAATATCTTTGAAGATGGACAAAAAATTATTAATGATATAAATTTTTCGTATAGAATGAATGCAAAGAAATGGATAACTAACATGCAGGTTTCGAGTGAAGTATCCTCTGAACAACATTTACACTGCCACTGATAACAAGTGATATTAGAACAATTCTTTAAATAGCGAATTCTATGTCAAACGTTTCAATAAATAAAATATATAACATGAATAAATGTGATCATGTCACATGATGAGAACACCAGGGATAGAACGAGAGTGGGGACAGTTATCATTTAAAAATTTAAAATTATCTTATAGTTTTAACTTTTTATATATATTTTTTTATTAAAATCTATTTTCGTTTCCTTAAAATTTTAGTTCGTTCCTATCATAAAATTCAATGTTCGTAACCAGATTAAATAAGAGAAAATGTCACTTTATCAAGGCATAATATCTCTTGAGCTCATTGTAAGGCGAATCTATCAAGGTAGATAGGCCTCTTGACCCGTGAGTAGGATTAGACGTGAGTATCGAAGGATAATCATCATCTCAAAAATTCAAACTTTCCAATAACAAGTTTGAACATAAAAGCAAAATACAAAGAAAAAATAGCATTCAAACAAGGAAGATGGTTCCTGTCAATTTATTCAGAGAAACTCGATTCTACTTCTATAAAATCGACAGAGCGACCACTAAGTAACTTATCAAAAGTAGTTGCTTTCATCAGAATACTAATGCCAACCCTGGGCCGGCTGTTTAATCAGATTTAAACCGACCACGATCGAATAATCTTTTCGCAAACGGTGATACAGACATAAGCAATGAAAGAATATAAGATTACCGAGGAGCTGCAAGAGCATCTTATTCTGCTCTAGATTGACCAGCTCGAGAAGACAAGATGATGCCGACGATAAGGCCATAGAGAGCCAAAGCTTCAGCAAAGACGAGGATAAGGATCATTCCAACAAAAAGTTTTGGCTGCTGTGCATTTGCTCTTCAAATAAAAAGATAATCGCCAGGCGGCAAGTAGCATTCAAATGTTTTTTATTAAATTTTTTTAATGTTAATTTAATAAAAAAATTATATTTTATTAAAACTCATCACATCGAATTGATAAATTTCACGAACATAGTAATAAATATTGTAGATCCCAAAATAAAACCCGGGTTCCCTAATAGGCTAAATAAAAAAATCCAAATATCTTAATGGGCCAAAAAAATTGACTTGTTAGGTCATTTCTAAAATTAATTTGAGATCTACATGTAAATGTTACAGTGCAAAAAAAAACTTGTCACACCCATATAACAAGTTTATCTAAATAATATTTTTATGCAAATTTATCACATCGATGTGATAAATTTAAAAAAATATAATTTTTATTTAAATCAAAATGATAAAATATAATAAAAATATATATTTTATTAAAACTCATCATACTCACATAACAATTTTCAAGTTATCGTAATAAATATACTAGATCCAAAACTAATTTAGGATGGTCTAATTAGCCAATTTTTTTACCCGTCTATTGGGCCAATTTTGTCCATTAATCGGTTTGAAACGGCACCGTTTCCAGAATCCATTAGGAAACAGCCTTTTCCCGTGAAATTATTAGTGGAACAGATTGCCTAATGCTCAAGTGGGGCCGTAGTTTTCGCTTTAGTCGTTAATGATTGACAACTGCTTAAACTTAAATGGATAAGCTTTCCACTACCTTTTCCCTCTTGATGCACCTAAAATTCGCCACGTGTTATGAAAAAGGTTGCGTTCACACGTATTTTTATATTCACCCAGCCCGGTCAAACTTTATGATGCCATCTGCCTCTATGACTCGTGCCACCTGAATAACAAGACGCGTTTCATGGAATATTGCAAAATTATTTTAATTAACTTATATTTAATTTATTATTAATTAATTTATATTAATTATTATAAAACTAATTTTTAGTTTATTTACAACACTAAAATTTATAAATTTAACAACTATTTTTTCCGATTAAATAATTAATTAAATTATTACATCATTCTAATTATTAGCTTGGGACGCGGAGTATAGGGACAAAGTCATAAATTTTATGTAGAAAATTGACCAAAAAATTATAAAATTTTGGAGAGATCGGATGAAAAATAATATACAACATATACGGAATCAGAATTAAATATTGACAGATGTTGAAATATTATACTATTTAAGAAAAATATAAAGTCTAATTAGGTATTTAAACTCGAAATTTAGCATGAACCAAGTGACCTTAGTGATTAAGGGTTTGTTATTATCATTGATGTCCAGAGTTCAAGCAAGTATGTAGGGATATGAGCGTTCATTGTCAAATAGTTGAAAGTCTTTATACATATATTACCTTCTATTCACCCTAAATTAAAAAAATCTTAAAACTCAAAACTTAAGAGACAACTTCTAATTTGTCTAATATTTAAACTTACAATGAATTAAATTGTAATTAGATCAAAATTTAAGAACATGAAATACTATTTACTTTTAAGAACCTAAAATTTGAATATTTTTTAAATTTAAATATTTACTTTTACATAAACCAAAATACTATTAAACCAAAATTTTATCAAATATATAAAATTTAAGAGGGGTCAGGGCCCTTAACCTTAAGAGAGGTCCATCCCTGATATAGAAGTACTAAAATTTAATAAATACTTCTTTTTAAGAGGAATCAAATTTGTAACTTTTCTCATTTAATAAAAGAGTTAAAGGGACTTAAATTGTATTATCATTATTTGGGAAAGACTAAAAAAATGATTTTCCCCCCTTCAAATAATCAAGGGCCTTGCCTTCCATTGTTTTTGTCGGGAATGGAGCTACTATCTTAGTTTGGGAGAACAAAGTATAACATTTTTCAAAATGTGAGGGGGATAACTTAAATTATCCCATAAATATTTAAATTATATATATATATATAAGAAGGTTCTTTCCGAGATTAAGGGCGCTACAGCCATTCCCAATTAGTTCCACCGCCGGTCTTTGTTTTTGGTTGAATATTGAATGTTAATTTATATATGACATAAAATATGTTTAAAATATAAAAGAGTAAAATAAATATTAATCAACTTTTTAATATATTTATATCCATTCTATGAATAATTTGTAAAAAAACGTGTTAAAAATAATATTATTAAAAGGTATAAATGTTTTTTCCCCTTTTAACACAGAAAATCTAAGCTCTCAATATATATATATATATATATATATATTTAGATCGAGTACTACAGAGACAATAATGATCATCTCAACTCTATTTGCTTCATTCGCAAACGTCAAAATTCAAAAATCTAAGCTATCGATATATACACACACTTTAAATTTGATTCACTTGTTTTTAATATATTCATGTAACATTAAAACTATTTTTAACACTTAAACTAATAATTATGTAGATGAAATAATAATAAAATATAATATACGAAAATGATGTATTTCTTAGAATTAAAAATAATATATATTTGCACAAATCAATTTATTTCAGTGGCTAAAAGAATCGTTATTATTCCTATAGATCACGGTTTCGAGCACCATCAATTGTAGCAGAGTGATTGGTCATTCATTGTTAAATAATTGTGAGTATTTAGAACACATATTATTTTGTAATCAACTTAGCTTAATAATATATATATATATATATATATATATATATATAATTTCATTATCTCAATAATTAAATAACAGTAAAATCCTATTACTTAAGATTTAAACTATATTTTCCTATATAGTTATCAAAATAATAATAATGATGAGAATAATATAATATACTTCGTTGATGAAAGTCCAAACTTTCTGTTAGAAGTTCACCCAAACAATCTCGATAGTAAAATAAATGTTATTATTTCTTGAGGTCTTAAGAACGACTATCAAGATTGAATATCAGAAGTGTGAACGTTTAATGTCAAATAATTAAGAGTTATATTTAAATAAATATTATTTTATATAATTATATTCAGTTCAGGTTAATAAAAAATTTGTGCCGGAAGTCTACACTGAATTATTTTACTAGTCTATATATTTAATATATATTTATTTTTAAAATATAATAAATGAAATTAATGCAACCGAACATTATTGGACCCCCAAACTTTTTTGACTTTTGTATTAATAATTGTGGTCCCATTTATTTTTTTGGAACTCAATAATTTTCTTGTCACATGAATTAATAACTAATTGAGTAAACTACACAGTCACTCTTTGTACTTTTAGGATATTTTCATTTTAGCTATTTAACTTTTAAAAATTATATTATAATCATTAAAGTTTTAATTTACTTTCATTACCGTAATTGTTGTTGAATGTTAACGTGATATATTAAGTTCCCCCTAAAAGTCTAATTCTATAAATTAGTAGTAGTTGCAAATATTGGTTTTTTGATAAATGAAGTGATAGCCGATTAATCTCAATAGTTAGAAGGTTATGTTTGATCAGAATATTAACATAGTTGGATTCCAATTTTATCCAATGGTTAACAATGATAGATCAAAAGATCATTAAACTATTTTTCTTATTGTCACCTTATTTTGTCATTGTTTCTACTGTCGTTCAATGAATTTCTTCGATTGAAAAGATCATTAAACTATTTTTCTTATTGTCTTTCCATTTTTTAGTGACTAAAGTGACTGATTGTATGCATGTCTTTTAGGTTTAGTGACTAAAGCGAAAATATCTTAAAAGTTTAATGTTTATAAATATAATTTACCCAT